TCTCTCTGGTTCCTTCTATTGCAAAGAACTCAGTGACCCCCCCTTCAGCATCACACCTCCCTTACAGCTGTCGTTGCAGAGGCCCTTATAAGCCTCCCAAGTCCCACTGAAATGCCATTTCTCCTTCCCTACTTACACTGTGCTCATCCTCAGGTCTGAGACCTCACCATCCAGACGAGGCCTGTCCTCTCCTCTCCTGGGCCAGGGGAGACTCAGAGCGGACCTGGTGTCTGCGGTCAGCTGTCCTGGGGCTTCTTCCATCCAGGTCTCCCGATGATTGGAGCTCTCCATGCACTTGGGGTGGGTGGGTGCGGGGCACATGGGCTGGTACAAAGGATCTTCCAGGGGAGCTGGGTTAAAGGAGACTGAAAGGAGGTCTCTCCCGAAGGGCCTAATTTCCAGCCCAAAGGCCCTGCTCCTCCCAGTCCCAGGGTGCTAGCGGGTCTTCGGCGCTTCCCACTCTGGCCTTGGTGCTGCGCCTGCGCCCTTTGCAGCCAGGCCTCCCTCCTCTGCAGCGTCTCCAGCTGGTGCCACAGCCTCTTGAGCTCCTCTCTCTGCTTCTCTAGCTGCTCCTCCAGGCTCCTGCAGACTGCTTTCTTCTCCCTCACTTCCCTCTTCTTGGCGGCCATCAGGCAGCGCCTGGCCATCTGGTGGCAGCGTCGGGGCCTGCGCTGGGCTGAGGGCGGCAGCCGCCTCTCCAGCAGCTCGTCATAGAAGACCCGGCAGCTGAAGCCCTGCCTCACGCCATGCTCAGCGTGCGCCACCAGGGCCTCCCGGGACTGGAACACGCGGCCACGCAGCGGAAGCCGCGCTTACAGGTCACCAGCCAATCTGGGGTGGCGGCCCGGGACCGCTCCCTGTGCTCCTCCCCATGGACCCTGGCCTCTGTCATCCGGGCCTTCGGCCTCTCCTGCCAGGGCTCCAGGGCACTGACCAGGGACTCGGTGTTGGCCAGACTGGGGACAGAGCCGATGGTGCTCTCCTCTGAGAGCTCGGCCTCAAAGACCTGGGGCATCTTGCCCACGGGGACAAAGGAGGTTTTGGTCCGCCAGGCCACGGCGACCCCCTTGACTGTGCGCACCTGGGTGAAGTACGCGCACCTGACCGATCGCTTCTCTGGAGCAGCCTCGTAGGTGGATGAGTGAGAGGTCTGCTCAGTGCGAGCTGAGGGAGAAAACCTCGCTGACTGTCGTGGAACCTTCCTGGGCCTGGAGCTTGGGCTTTTTGCTGCGGACGTTGTTGGCTGTGTGGTGTGTTCCTCTTGGGTTGAGACCTCTGAGAATAGAGAGTAAATTTACATGAGCTCTCAGTGCAATGGGGGCATAGTGGTTAAGTGTTATGGCTGCTAACCAAAAGGTCAGCAGTTCGAACCCACCAGGTGCTCCTTGAAAACTCTAGGGGGCAGTTCTACTCTGTCCTGTAGGGTCGCTATAAGTCAGAATTGACTGGACAGCAACGGGTTTGTTTTTTTTTCTCAGTGTGCTGAATCCTCATCTCTGATCCCAAGGCTCTGGTCTCAGGGAACCCTGGAGGCCTCTCTGTCACCACCATCCTCCACCTCTGCAGACCCCATGGTTTCTTTCTTCTTCCCCAGGGACCTACCGTCCTTTGTGGGCATTGCTGTGGAAGACAAAGTCTCCTTTGTAAAGTGGCACTATTTATAGTACTTTATAAAACAAGTTATTTTTCTTTAATTCCACATTTGTTGAATTCCAATGGATTTGTTCCTTTGGAACTTAGAAATGACCTCATTCCCCTGAACCTTCATAATAAGTGTGTGACTTCATTGAAAGAGGTTTTCTATGAAAGTGTTTTCTTAATAAATTCAGAATGTAAACACTCAAACAGGAGCAATGCTCACCTCTTTTTAACCTCTTTTTACTAAAAGGCTATTTTTAGAGAAGT